TTCCTTCTTTCACCTGGAATACCCTTTTTTTTCCTCCCTACTCACTTCCTTCTTCAGAGGTACAAACTCCGTAAGCTATTGCTCAAAATATGTCTATCACTTTTATTAAAAAATGCCTTTAGAATAAATGGCCTTAATGAAGACAGATCTTTTTTCTTTCAAGGGTAGATTTTTTAAAAAATTGTTTTGGAAATAAACAAATGCCAATGAATAATTAGGCTTTTGTATCAAAAACAATGGCAGCTGAAATAATAGTTCAGGGAGGAGTTCCAAGCATACTGTGAGCAATGGCAGCATTGTTGGAATAAGTGTCCCCTTCTAAAAACAACTTTCATTTGGATTTATTATTTTTGGGGGTCTTTAAGGAAATGAGAGTTTATAGTCATACTTTGGGGCTTCTTCTCTTCTCTGTCTCTTTAATGTGCAAGTTAGCTACATGTTTTCAAGTATCTTAAGGTCATAGTACCAAAGTCATCAGCTGAGGTGACAACAGAGAGGGGAGGAAAGGGAAAAAGGAGAGAATAAGTATTTATTAGGTGCCTAGTATGTGCCAGGCACTGTGCAAAAGCACTTTACAAATATTTTCTCATTTGATCCTCTTGACGACCTTGGGATGTAGCTGCTATTATTATCCTTATTTTACAGATGAGGAAGCTGAGACAAATTGTTAAGTGACTTGCCCAGGGTCACACAGCTAGTAAATGTCTGAGATCAGGTTTGCACTCAGGTCTTCCTAACTACAGGCCAAACTCTCTATTTACTGTGCTGCCTAGCTGTCCCAGGTAACAGACAGTACATAGTATAAGTAAATATACTTAGTCCCTTTTTTTTGTTCCTGGAGTTTGGTATCATCTCTGCAGACTGTTGACCTTTTGAATTAGATAGATTCCTGCCTCCCTGGAAGACTTTGTGTTTGGCTCCAGGACTCTGTAGCCTTTGACATTTTATTTTCTAGCAGTGAAATTACAGTGAATTTTAGGCATCCAGTGGTTTAGAAGAGCAGGTGTACTTTCTTTCTTTTTTTTTCTCTGCTAAAAGTTTCTTCTTTTCTCATTTTGTTTTTTTCTCAATTACATATTAAAAATGTTTAACATTTTTTTTTAACTTTTCAGTTCCAAATCCGCTCTCTCACCTCCCTCCTCCTTGAGAACGCAAGGGATTTTATATAGATTATATATGTGAAGTCATGCAAAACGTATTTCCATATTAGCCATGTTGCAAAGACAACACACCCAAAAAACAAAAACAAGAAAACTAATGTTTAAAAAGTATGCTTTGATCTGCATTCAGACTCTTATCAGGTCTCTCTCTGGAGGTGGATAGCGTTTTTTTCATCATAAGTGCTTTGGAATTGTCTTGGATCATTGTGTTGCTGAGAATAGCTAAGTCATTTACAGTTATCATCATGTAACATTGCTGTTACTGTGTACAATGTTCTCCTGGTTCTGCTCGTTTCATTTTGTATCAATTCATATAAGTCTTCCTAGGTTTTTCTGGCAAATCTACTTTCAAAGAATCCTGTTGGTAACTCTTTGTGTTTCACTTGTAGGACGAGACTTGATGCCCCACGATTGGAAACAAAGTCCCTGGGTAACTCTATGTTACCCCCTGGTTACACTTCTGATCGTCTGTCAGGAAGCAACAGGGACCAGATCCTAAAACCAAAGCGGTCCCACCGAAAAGCAGATCCAGATGCTGCTCATAGGTATGAACTCTGTTGGGGCTTTATTGCCGATTACCTGAAATAGCATGAGTGTTGGAAGTAAAGGGAACTAAAGAGGACACAGATTGTAGAACATTTTAATAATTTACTCCATATTTTCTCTCTAGACCCAGCAAAGGAGATTTTGTAATAATAGTAATAATAATAGCTAGCATTTACATAGCACTTTAACGTATGCCAAGTGCTTTACATGTGTTATCTCTTTTGATCCTTACAGCAATACTGGGAGGTAGGTAGATGAGGAAACTGAGACTGAGATTGATGATTTGCCCAGTGTCACATAGCTAGTAAGTGTCTGAGGCCAGATTTGAACTCAAGTATCCTGACTCCAAAGAGGCACCTAGATAGCTTACTGAATAGTGCTCTAGGCCTGGAGTCAGAAAGACCTGAGTTCAGATCTGGCCTCATACACTTTGTATCTGTGTGACACTGGGCAAATCAGTTGACTTCTGTTTGCCTTAATCCACAGAGAAAGAAATGGCAAACCACTCCAATATCTTTGCCAAGAAAACCTCATGGACAGTATTGATGTGCTATGGTCTACAGGGTCATGAAGAGTCTGACTCCAAGACCAGCATTCTTATCTACCCTACCGCCTAGCACCTCTTATATAGTAAGGGATTACAGTGAGACATATACTTAATGTTCCTGACTTCACCATTTCTGTTTGGTTTAAGGCTAACTGAGAAACAAGGTTCTCAAACAACTTGGTATTCAACTCTTGCCTTATGTATAGTTTCTTGAGAAGATGTAACTGAGATAACTTTTATTGCTTATTAGAGAAAATATCTCTCTTACATTTATATAAAAAATTTCAGCTTTCCTTATAGCAGGTGACAGAGCCAGTCTTGATTCCAAATCCAGAGCTGTTTCCACTATACTGTTCTGCCTTTCAGCAGAATCACATCACATCTCTGAAATTTGGTATTTTACAGAGTTTTGGGGTTAAAAGGAGCCATTCATCAGCTGTAATCTAACCCTTATTTCTCAAAAGGAAAAACTTAGGCCTAGAGAAGGAAAAGGGTCATAGATTTAGAACTGGACACTGCCTTGGATAGATCATCTGATTCAGCTCCTATATTTTAGAAATAAAAAACTCAGAGGGTCAGTGACTATCCCAAAGTGATGCTGCTAGTTGTAGGCCAGATCTCACTCCTATTCATTGTTCTTTCTGCCATGTGATACCAACTCCAAAGTATTTTTCTTTCCTCCTACCTGTAATTCTTCCCTTTTTTCTACCTCATCAGGCCACGAATTTTAGAAATGGACAAGGAAGAGAACCGGCGTTCTGTCCTCCTACCAAAACACAGGAGGAGGAGCAGCTTCAGCTCTGAGAACTATTGGCGAAAGTCTTATGAGTACACAGAGGACTGCGGAGAGGATGATGGGAGCCCAGCCCGAAAAGTGAAGATGAGGAGACACTGAGAAATGAGCAAAAAGACTCAAGCTGCAGAAACCAGCCTCCCTTCTGTGAAAACTTTCTTTGGCTGTTTCTCATAGCTTTTTTTTTTTTAAGAGTTTTTTTCTTCATTTTAGGGCTGAAGAAAGGAACTGGGACAGGATCCAGATTTTTTTTTTTGTTCACTTATTTTCCTGAATGGAAATGATATTGAGGCATCTTTGTTGCTGGGGAGCATTGGTTACCACCTGGTCAGTCAAATGGGCACTTTGCCCTAACCAAGCAGATAAAGTTCAAGCTGTGCTAGGCTGTGTTTATTTAAAACACCAAAAATGTTTTACTGTTTCACTGCTGAAGATTCAAGAAATTAGTCCTTTTGCTTTAATTGTAAATTTTTTTAAACGTTCTAAATATATTGTTTGACCCCCTAGAGTTGAAACTTGGTCATGGCCTCTTCATGCTTTACCAACTTTAGAGTAGGGCTTGCTAAGCCCTAAGTCTCCTGTTGATTCTTTTCTCTAACCTGCCATTTGGTAACTGGAATCTTGAAGTTTGCAAATTGTTTTTCCTGCAACAGATTTCCAAGTTGCTTAGGACATCTAGCTGATAGCTTATGTGGCCACTGCACCAAGTTCTGTTTTCTCCCAGATGTGCAGTTGTCATACTTTCTCACCCAGTTCTTGACCATTCCCAGCAGCCCAGGAAAAAGGTGGGGGGAAGGTGGTACTGGAACAGAGCCCTTCGCTTAAATAGCATGATTTTGTTCATAGGTATCTCCTTTCATGCATTTGGACATATGTGTGAATATTTGGATAAGTTAGAGTCTTCTCATGTTTTGGTCGGTTTTAGAAATTTTTCTAGCAAGGAGGACTGATGTCCTTCCAAGTCTAGGGTTTGGAATATGGAAAAGTGTCATGGCGTGTGGTGGGTTTTTGTCTAATCTTTTTTGTCTTCACCCTTTTGCTTCTTTCCTGATGAGGACCTAGCCTGGGAGAGGTCTCCGTGTTACATGTTCAACATTCGGCAGTCTATTTTCTAGGTCCCCCTTAGAGAAAGCGCCTCCTTCTCTATCCCCTCCCCTTAAGACAAGGACTTCAGAGGGTATCAGCTTTTGAAAATTCTCTTTTTTTCTCTCTTCTTTTAGTCTTTTAATTCTTATAGAAGGGGGCATTTCCACAGGTTCTCATGGCTTAGTGTTGGCCATGAGGAGAGATGAGGGCTCTGATGGAAATTTATATTTCATCCTGGATTATTTCCTTTGTCAGTTTCTTGGAAGGGTTGTGAGAGTTGTGAGTAATGGGAAGAGCCTTTTTAATACATTTTTTAAATTTAACAAAAAAACTTTAGCAACTTTCGATGAGTCAGGCCTGTTAAAACTGAAGTCTTACTCATTTTGAACTGCTAGGAATTCTTAGTAGAAACAGGGCTCCATTGGCCATAAAGATGACTCAGGAGAAACCTGACTCCTGCTGCTGAGACCTTAACTTTCTTTTCCCACCTGATCTTGCTCTCTGTTCTGTCCTATTGACTTAACTTGTCTGAGGCCTTGAAGGCTCTGGAGGTTTGGGGTCTAGTGATAAATTTAGAACCCTCTTTTGAAATATAAATTTAAAAAAAACTTCTCAGATTTTGATTCCTTGAATCTGGATTTAAGTACTAAAGCAGTTGCAGCTTTATTTTTTTTTTACAGCTTTTTTCCCCCAAAAATTATTTGTAGTTTTGTGTGTTTGGCACTTTGCTATGATCTGTGTGCTCTACAATAAAAACAAAATCTAATATATTTTGAAACATATTGTCTGATGCTGTCCTAAAGAGTGACTTTATTTTGTTAAGTTCCCCTTCTCTACCATACCCCCTTTTTGAAAAGGGGATCTGTTGTTCCCTGTCAGTTTGTGAGGGTGGAACCATACTGCCTGCATGTAGCTGAGAGGATCCTTTCACCCAGAATAAGTTAGTTGGTAGTGTCTAAGTAGTCTGCTTCACTGAAGGAAAGAGAAGATATTGTTTAGGTAGATTGAATCCTGACCTAGGCAGAGGTAGTCCTGAGGGAGCACTTTGTCTCTTGAAAGGCTTACAAAATCCAGGCAGGTTTAGGGTAGGTAGTGAGCCATCTCTGTGTAAATCCATTGCCCCATGACACATACACCACCCTCAGAAAATAATAGCATCCTTCAGTATCCATCAGGGCCCCAGATGACCCTTATTGGTGGCTTGCCAACTACAGATTATATCATAGTGATGTTTATCCATTCTTTAGTTACCTAGGTCTGGGGTGCCATGGTAGCCTTCTAAGTGGCAGATTGTTACCACTTTCTCACTTGCCCTTGATAGAAGAGGTAAGGAAAAATAACAGTGAATGTTGTGGGGATCTTCCTCTTCCAAGTTGAGTACTGGGCATCACCATGTTCCAAAATATTCTGTGAAGTTACCTGTGAAGTCAGACAGGTAGCTGTTCGGCTGGAGGGGAAGGCCTTTTCAAACAGACCACAAGGCTTGGAGTTTTCTCTAGAAAAGCTGAGGGCCAACTTGGTAGGTGGCCAGATGGGTCTCAATCGCTTGATTTGTATTTGGGTCTGACAGATCTTGTTCTTCATCTCCATTCTTTATTTAGTGTATCTGAAGTGCTAAAGTGAAGGGGTGGAGAGAATATCGGTCTATCTCTTTTTAGGAAGAAAGTTTCCCCGCCCCAAGGTATCTTAAATGTCTCTCGGATAAACCAGAGACAGACACGTTTGGCTATGTGGTGTGGAAAAGTAGGAGATCTGAACAAGCAGGAACCCTAGTGCAGTCTCTTCTGTGGACTCTTTGAACGGCGCAAGTAGGAGCTAATACATGTTGATTTGAATTGAAGGGGGAAGAGCGCAGCAATGGAGTTAGTACAACGGGGTATTTGATTTATGAATTCAGTCAGACCCTTAGAAGCGCAGAATTTCCTTTTGTGTTTCAGCTCTCAAGGCCTCCTACTTCTCAGTCTCCCGCTATCTTCTAGGGTATTAATAGACAGTTCACTTAGGTGTTATCAAAAACCAACTGGAGGGAGCTCATAATAGAGGCAGAGCCTAGGACAGCATGCCCACAGCTTCCCCTGGGCGCTCTGGCTGTGTGTAAAAGGCAGTGGCACTCGACGGCAGCAGCGAAGGGAGCCCTGCAGAATGAAAAGGACTTGAAACAAGTGAGTCCATTTGTCTGGCCTCTTCTTAAGCAAAACTGTCTTAGAGAGCAGAGGAAAGATTTTCAAAGCAACCTTGACCCACTGATACCAAGAGCATTGGCAGTGAACATCAGGACTGAGACAGGCCTGAGACCTGGGCTTAACCAGACCCATGAGGAAGAAAGTGGAGAATTAAAGGCTCTGGCTAGAAGTGTCGGTGATTACAGTGTCATGTGTGATTTGGGGTTAATCAAACCTTTGAAAACCTTGGCCTCGGTCACCTCTAGAGAGCACAAATGGTGGCAATGGTACTGAGATACATATCCCACTTCTCCCTTTTGATCTCTTGACTCTTCCCATCCTCCCCTCCCCCAGCTCAACCATATGATAATATCTAGGTATTTTTAATTCCAGCTAAGTAAACAAACCACTGTAAAAAATCCAGACTGTTGGAAAGGGCTTGAGGGTTTGACTAGGGAAGGACCCCACAAATGGGAGGGAGGGTCATGGCCAGCACTAACCTGGAGGTCCTCAAGCGGGTGGCTTGTGGGCCCCTCCGCAGACAGCCTCATAGCCAATTTTCCCCAGGCCTTGTGCCCTGGGTGGAGAAAATCTCAACTTTCAGGTTGTACTGTGAGGAATTCAATCTTGCTGTCATCTTGGCCTTGTTTGAAATGTCAAATGTTTCTTCCCCTCCTGCCTTGGGAATTTCCTTTTAATGAGCCCCTTTCTTATAGCTGGGCACTTACTGAGAGGAGCAGGGGAAGGATGGGTGCAGTCTTTGAAAAGAACTTTATTACAAAAGTGGCAATATTTATTTTCTTTAATATTTCATAGAAGTATAGTTTGTTACAGAGCTATACAGTGCAAAACCCAGAGATGCACTGGGGCTGAGGGGATGCCTGTTGGATATGGGGCAGCTTGTCATTCTAGTTAATTCTGAGAATTTTAGCTGGGCCCCCCACCGTTTGTATAAAATGTTACATTTAATGTAATAAAAGCAGGAAGCACTGGCCTGTCGTATGGTGTGGTTTTTCTCTGAGTAGAGGCATCTATCTCATAATTCCCCTCTTCACTTGACTTTGAGGTCTCTTAACTCTTAACATCCTCTTTAGTTAGAAGCCAAGGAAAGTCAAAATGTAAGATGGTTTTTCCAGAACTAAAGGTCTATCCATAATATTTAAACACTAACCCGCAGGACAGCCCCAGTACAAAACACTGAACTGACAAAATGGGCTTTTGGCCTTCCATCACACTCAGGATTTAGAGATAGAAGTAGTTAAAGATCTAGTCTTGGAGTTCTTTTTTGTGTCACAGACACACTTCTTAGACTGATGTTTCTAAATACATAAAATAACAAAGGAAACCAATTATATTGAAATATAGTTACCAAAAAAAAATTTTTTTTAAGTTCACACATTCCAGGTTAAGAACCTTGCTGGTCCAACCCCCTCATTTTAAAGATAAGGAAATAGGTTCAGAGTTGGGGTTGGGGGGGGAGGTATCAGACTCGAACTGACAGAAATTAGGACTATGACACATACATGCATCAGATAGGGTGATGTAGAATCTGGCACTAAAAAACATTAAGGTCAAAAATGGGTGATGCATTACGTGCCACAGAAACGAGGACAATCAATTTGAGCTGAGGTTATCAAGGAAGGTTCTATGATGAGGTGAGATTTGAGTGGTCCCTTGAAGGGTTAGAATTTGGATTGGTGAAGAGGGAAAGGGAGCATACAAAGATGTGGAGGCCAGAACGAGGACTGCGTGTGGAGGGATAGGGAGGATTGGACTAGAAAGGTGGTGTCCTGGGGAGCTAGGGAAAGTGTTTATTTAGTAGGAAAGGATTAGAAGGTAGAGCCCTTATTTGGTGCCTTTGAACTCTGGGCCTTCTACTCCCAGGCTCCAGTAAATGAAGACTTTCCTGCCAGTGAAACATACTGTGCACACTCCTTCCTGCTTCTCACCGTAACCCTTCTTGAAAGGGAGAACAAGAAGAACAAGGAGGCAAAGCCCAGTTGGCTCTGCGGCTCGCTCCACATTCACAACCCTGTGAAGTAGCCAGTGCAAATATCTCCACTTTTCAGATGAGGAAAATAAGTCCCAGGGAAGAGGAAGTCACAGAGCTAGTAAGCATTAGAGGTAGGATTTGAAACTGCACTGCCATGTTGAGGCAGGTGTTGAGTTCCAGACCCTGGACTTTTCCTCTTTGGGCTAGTGGAGGCCACACATACGTGCATGCACACATGTAGGATCGGGGAGCAGAGATTAGCTGGAAGAGATCTCAAAGTTAATCTAGCCCAAACCCCTCATTACACAGATGAGGGAATTGAGCCCTGCAGAGATTAAGCAGTTAACCAAAATCAAACAGGTAGTGAGTGGTAGAGCCAGGTTTTGACTTCATATCCCAAGCCTTCTCCTTTACCCCGCTTCTCATATTCACAGGCACATGCACCTTGTAGCTATATCTGTCAACATTTTTTGCTGTTCAGTCATTTCAGTCCTATTAGACTCTTCATGACCCCCTTTGGCATTTTCTTGGCAAAGATACTGAAGTGTTTTGCCATTTCTTTCTCCAGCTCATTTGACAGATGAGGAAACTGAGGAAAATAGGGTGAAGTGACTTGCCCAGGGTCACACAGCTAGTAAGTGTCTAAGGCAGATTTGAACTCAGGAAAATGAGTCTTCTTGACTTCAGGCCCAGAGCTCTATCCACTGAACCACCTAGCTGTCCCTTAGTAACACTTAGTGAGCCACTAACTGCTATACCTGGTGCGGAGGTTGGGCAGAGTGAGGACTAATAGAGCAGTAAAAGGGTCTTACAAGACCCTGTCTTCAGGGAGTCTACAATAGCAGAGGTGTGTCCAGGAAAAATTACATGTGAAAGTTATGCCGAGAAGATATCAATTGCAAATAGATTCAGAGGGATGGACACAGACACTCGTAGTTGCCAACGTGGCTGGATGTGGACCATGTGGGAGGAGGTGTCATTGTAGCACAACTTGCCAGCACTTCACCCCCAGATGTCAGCATCCAGTCTCAGGAGCAGCAGACTGAGGCAGACCAGGAGAGTCCAGGACCAAGAGCCCAAGCCAGGCTTGGTAGTGTGAATATAGTAACAGAGCACCCAGGAGTGCCCAAGAGGACAGATGTGAGGGAAGCTAGGTGGAGCACTAGAGCACGATAGAATGCTATACCTGGAGTCAAAAAGACCCGAGTCAAATTCTGTCTCAGACACTAGTTGTATGACCCTGGGTAAATCACTTGACCTTTCTCAGCCTCAGTTTCTTCATCTATAAAATGAGGATTATAATAGTACCTACCACACAGGGTTGTTTTGAAAATCAAAGAAGATAACATGTAAAATGTTTTTCAAACCTTAAAGCATTATGTAAATACTAGATAATATTATTTGTCTTCGGTGGGTCTCAAGCCACAATTTCTGCATTCGTTTTTAACTCTACCACTCTTCAGTGTTTGTGAAATGATACTGCTCACAATCTCCCACCACCTTTTCTCCACAACATTTTGTATATGAGTTTATATTCTAAGCCAATGTTGTGCTTAGGTCTCTTCACTTGGTGAGGAAATCAACTGTTTGCAGACTAAAGGAGTTTTGGGATTCTTTGGGTCACTGTGACAACTGTTTTTCTCCAGTTAATTTTTTTCCTGTATCCATTTCAAATTTGTCTTAGCATCGCAATAGTTTGCTTGAATAGGTCAGGTTGGAGCTCTTATAATTGCTCAATATCTTCTTCTAGTCTTTATCCTGTCTTCTAATTTGAACGAACTGATGTCCTGACTACACACTGACAGTGGATTCTGAAATGATTCCCCCTTCAGGTATCTCTGTGGATAAAGCCATTTTCCTTTCAATCCCTTTCCTTCCTTTCTCTCTCATTCTCTCCCTTTGCCTTTTTCTTTTCTTTCTTTTTTTTTTTTT